CATTCGTGTATAGATAGTACAAAATCTCACAACAACCTTACACCACACGCCAGGTCAGCCACACCAACACTGTTCAAGAACATCATAAACGACATGATAACTCACAAGACTGATACATACAAACCCTTAAAGCACTGGTGGTAAGATACTTCACAAGCAAGAAGCTGTATATATTATCATTGGATGAGACCTCTGACCTCCCAAAAGCGATCTGGTAATGTCGTGCTGCTTTGTAGTTGTTATTGACTATTGCTTTGTAGTTTTATGCTAGTTGTAGTCCAATGGATGCAAGTGTTATGTTATGTTATGTTTTGTGCCTTAATTTGTATTACATTTGTGTACTGTTTGTGAATCCAGGAAGAATAGATTAGATTTGTTATCTAATCTAATGGATATCTAATAAAACATCAAACATCAAATTTGGCAACATCTTTAGAGCATGTTAGCCTGGTGTCTAACCTATTGTAGCTACTGAGTTTGTTTCATTTATAATGTAGTATTGATTTAGGCACATACATGTAAGGCCACAGCAAGTAAATTTCATGGATGACATCCTCCGCAGACTCCAAATCTAATGCGAGCGGGCGAAAAAAAACAAGGCAGGCCAAAAAAACAAGGTTCCCACATTTTCAAATTTTGGCTCAATCAAATGATTGTGCAAATGGTTTTGATTCAGTGGGAACATCACATATACACAGCCAACATCACATATCACTGCATCAAAGTGAAAAATAAAACATCAAATCGGAGCCTTTTCTTGTCTCATCTCTTCATAGGTATCTGCTATCCACGTTACGGCTTGGCAACAGGTATCTTTGCCCATTTTCGGCATGGTGACCACTGTCAGAAGGCAACAAAATTTCTTGTTTTTTTTTTTTCCAAAATCAGGCGAAAATTAATACGCGCGCTGATGTCATCCATAAAAATTACTTGCTGTGGCCTAATCTACACACCCGGTAACCACGGTCTTGAGGATTTTTTATTTTTTTTTTGTATTCCTAGAGGTATTAATAATTAGATAATATAAGGACTTACTGGTAACAACTAAATATACTTAGTTTCGTCTACATAGTTTGCTAGATGATAGTAAGGTATATACCGTATACATCAGGTGGATTATGTACAATAGGGTTGAATTACTATTACAGTACAATTATTATGAACTTTTTCTGTCTACTTAAATCTTCATTTTCAACTACTGTAATTCCTGATTTGTTCACTGTACTGATAAGTTCACTGTTTTCACTGTTGTTTCTGCACAGTGAACTTATCATTACAGTTAACAAATAATTCCTGGACTTTCTGCTTCCTACAGCTGTCGCCACCGTGAACATATAGTTACGTGAACATGTCCATTTTTCTCAGACCGTGAAATTTTGCTACCGTGAACATAAAGTGAATTACAGTAATCCTTTCCTTTTTTCCACCTCTCTCCCTTTTTTCCTAAAAAAGAAATGTTAAAATCTTGTGCCCTTTATCTGTAACATGGTATTAGAAGTTATGACAGGCATTTATGCCTATAAGGCCACACCAATTTCATTTCTTGATTCTTAATTAACAGATTTTTCTAGAAAATAATGGAGCAGGCATCCTGTTATGGCCCAAAATGGTACGATAGGAGCCATGAAGTCAACACACCAGGCTGGTTCAAAATTTAAACAAGAATTCCGAGATCTCATACCTCCATGAAATATGGGCTTGATATGTAAATGTAAATTTCTTCTTTAGTTATGCAAATGACCTCTGCAATAACATGATATATGCATCGTGATGTATGTTAACTTTTGATTAACTTACAGATGTCCCAAGTATGACATTCCCATCATTCCCCATTAAGAAATCATAGAATTTTCGCATTAATTATGCAAATTAGGTCATCATTTGCATAATTAGTATCTGTTGATGTTCCGCCTACCATAGGTTACATACATTACATGTATGAAAGTAGTATAATGTAAAACACTGTAATTATAGAATTCCCTCATTTGCATAGTTTGCATTTAATCATGTACATCTCTCTCTCAGCTACCTACACACCAAAAATTATGAAAATATGTTGTTCCTATCTGGACTTATTGGCTTTGAAAGTTTTTACCAGAAACTAACCTGCAGTTCCAGAACAAGCTGCTAGGGGGACCAAACTTACGCCACTTATTCCTGACAGGATAAGCTATCTGTCACCAAAAAGTCAAGACCATAGCTTGTTCAGGACAAAAGATACAAAAAACGGAAGTTCTGCTGCAGTACCAAGGTCATCCACCAGGAGGCCCATACTTGACCTTGACCTTTGTCTTTCCAAGACTTACCATCATACCAAATATCATCACCATCCATAAAGGCGTTCTGAAGTTATGCTGACTGCAAAGTTGCGGAAACACACACAGACACACACACAGACACACACACAGACAGACACACAGACATACATACAGACAGACACGCCAAAAACAATACCTCCATTTTTCATGGAGGTAACAATGAATTTTGAACTTTAAATGATTCCACTACATTGAAATATGGAATAAATGTAACAGCTAGGAAGAAGAGGACTGTTTTCAACTGTTCAGGGCAAAATATGAGCATGTTGCACTTGATTCTGAATTTTTATTTTTATTTGCAAATCAGGAATAAATGAAGCGGGTGAATCCATTAACCAAGAAATTAAATTGGTGTGCCCTAAAGAAAAAACAAATTTAGTGGCACGTCGATGAAGGTTAGACATCCAGGTAATACGATATGCCAAAAAACAGTTACTCAAGCAACTGGATATGATTTACTCAAGCAACTGGATATGATTTTGAAAACGTCATTATTTGACTTTTTCAAAATCATATCCAGTTGCTTGAGTAACTGTTTTTTGGCAAATTTAGTGGCAATTAGTGATACAAACTTGGGACTTACAGTTTAACCTTCTCCCTCCTGCCTAACCTAGGGAATTGGTAGCCAGTTCAATGTGTTAAAAGTTAAAGTGATGGAATTTCTTTGACTATGTTGTAGTGAAGTTATTTGGACAAGGTGATAAGGCCACAGCAAGTAAATTTTATGGATGACATCCTCCTCAGACTCCAAATCTAATGCGAGCGGGCGAAAAAAAAACAAGACGGGCCGAAAAGAACAAGGTTCCTACATTTTAAAATTTTGACTCAATCATTGTACAAATGGTTTTGATTCAGTGGGAACATCACATATACACAGCCAGCATCACATATCACTGCATCAAAGTGAGAAACAAAACATTTAATCAAAGCCTTGTCTTGTCTCCTCTCTTCAGTTATCTGTAGAGCTGTGTACCGGTACGCAGTACCGATAGTGTACCGGAAAAATTGATTAGGTGTACAGGTCCAAAATACCTAATCCCTCAGTACCGGTACTGTACCTAAACAATTTCACACCAATTTTATGCCTATTTGTGACCTCAAATGTGTAAATAGCTGGTCCACAATGGGTATCTGTGTAAGGACAGTGTGTTCATGAAAACAAAAACATCTTAGTTTTGCCTATATTTTATCTGAGCATTCGCCATAAACAAAGAATAAACCTTAACTATCAAGTTTATTAATGTTTTTTTGTTATTGAATGAGTTCAGAAGAGCATATAAATTGGTCGAATTGTTCAGGTACAGGTTCAGGTCCGGACCTGTACCTAAACCTGTGTACCTGTACCTGTACCTGTACCTAAAATTTGTTTAGGTACACAGCTCTAGTTATCTGCCATCCACTTTCTGGCATGGCAACAGACATCTTTGCCCATTTTTGGCATGTTATGAAAATTTCTTGTTTTTATTTCCAACATCAGGCAAAAATTAATGCGCGCGCTGATGTCATCCACAAAAATTACTTGCTGTGGCCTGATGCACAGCTATTAAAGGTACTGTAATGGGTATAGTTGTATGTCATGACTGTGTGCGTTCATTCCTATTATAGAATTATGATACATACCACTGATGCAATGGAAGATAATTATAGTCAGTCATTATAATATATAGGACAATAAAATAAAACAAAACACAAGTCACATTGGCAATGTGTAACATAATGGTTAAAGTGTTTGCCCAGGAACTAAGAGGTTCTGGGTTCAAATCCCTGACATGCCCTATAAATGCTGTGCCCTGGGAATAAGCGCTTACGATAACACAAATTTTCTCCCTTCACTCCGGTGGCAATAAGTATCTAGCTTACAAAATTAAATAGAGGTCCCATGTGGAAGGAGAGTACATTAAAGAATTCACCACATTAATCAAAAAAAGAGTAGGGGTCTTCCCAATTTGAGTTGATCAAACCCATTCCTACATCAGCGTGCAAAATACCTGGTTGCCCAGTTGCCCCGGGCAACCAAATTTAACTTGGGGCAACCTATTTTTGAACCTAGGTAGCCCAGTGTGCTACCTGAATTTTAAGAATCCCCCCCCTCAAAAAAAATCATGCCCACTTGGCTTGCACCACTGTATCTGGCAGATGCTTTTTAATTTTACTTATTAATGGTTATTGCTAGTATCAGTTAGCTAAAAGCTGTTAGAAATATTGTCAAAGGCTTATGTATGTAACATTACTTAATTTGAGGAAAGTAGTAACTTATAGGTGGGGCAACCTAAAATTCTGATGGGCAACCTAATTTTTGCACTGGGCAACCTCGTTCTAAAAAGTACTTTGTACACTGTACATGTCCCTATTATACTTAGTAGGGAATATTCCCGAGCAGCCTTTGCAACATCTGCTTCTCCTATTGGGTCAGTCCTCACAATCAGTTAGTCCATCTTGTCTGCAGCATTGACATGTCTGACTTCGGTCACAACCTGCCGTACGTGCTGTCTATGTGCAAAAATGTGGGTAAACGCAGGGCATCCGTGCGTGGTGAGTACCGCCTCTGTGCGGATTTGGGAGCACGCAGACACGCCGTAGAACTTTAAGTGCAAGTAAATTACTTTTTCTGCGTGCGGTCTACGGATTCACCACCCGTGCGTGCGAGTACGGGCAACGGGCGTGCCCCGTACGTACCGTACGAAAGACGCACGTGTGAGTACGGCCTCCTTACGGTAAAGTTGCAATCGCACAGAGATCGTACGTTGTAAGCACGCACAACTCACTTACCACTTGCGCAACGAATGATGCACGCAACCGCTCACGGCCAGGCGTGGCGTGCAGACCACACTCCTACACCTTGCAAAACCGTGCGAGTGACGTGCGTTGATGCCACTCCTTCCCCACATTTTCAGAAAAAACGTAGCAGACGTAGCCTCCCAAAAAACGTGCGGACAAAAAGCACGTACGGCGGGTTGTGAGGCTTTAGGGAGAGGAGATGCTGTTCCAGTAACCTACTAGTATTCAACTTTAAGTTCAGTCCTTAAAAGTGGTCTTTGGCCTTGCACTATGGAAATTTGTTAAACAGGAAGAAAACCTTTACATGGATTTTTAGTACATCATTAGTAATAATAATCATTAGATAGTATTACATACATCACTTTGCAATTTTCATATTACTTGATTGTATTATTTTTTTAACAGAAAAAAAGAGCCATGCAATTAATGACTCTATCCTAGGGTTGCGCACCAGTCCAGGTGGACCGGTATGGACCGGCAAAATAGTATCGGTCCGGTCCGAAAAAAACGTGTCAGTGGACCGGTTTTTGGACCGGAACAAAATTTAATACTTGATCATTACACACAAGGAGGCCTGCCAGGAAAATGAACATCCAGCATTAAAATAAAGAGATTTACCTTTAGTTTCCGTCTCTGAGAACTAGTGAGAAGTAAGATAGGAAACCTAGTTATATCATCCATGGTTATATTTGATGTTCTTTGAAAGATACAAGACAAATTGTCCACACTTTATTCATGTTTCTGTCATTATTGAAGAATTTCAGTAGAACATGTGACACGTGTGAATTTTCAGGTACAGATACAGGTCCGTACCTGGACCTAAACCTCTGTACCTGTACCTGTAACTACAAAAAGGTACGCAGCCCTACTCTATCCATACCTATGATCATGAGTGGCTGGTTTGTAGTTACAATAGCAGAAGGGAGGGTTACAGCAGGGTTGTAATGTTGTAGATGTCTCTCGGCATTGGGCCTTTCCGGGAACCAAATTGGCTTCATGCTGTGCTTTTGCTGCTAGAATATGTGTTATTATTTCTCTGTGATGTTCGACTGATAAAGGGTAAAGTTCTCCTGGGTCTCTGTCTATGTTGAAGAGTAGTGGAGGGTCATGGTGTGTTATGTGTGATCCGTAACAATCATAAAATGAATAATATTCGACATTTGGTACACCACCGGGACAGTGTTCTGTATAATTAGAAGGTAGCTCCATTGAGTAGAAATGTGCCTTATACCCCCCCTGTCTAACAGCCATCAGTCTATTGGAACAGTAGTGAAACAGGGTCCGCGGGGAGGGAGTAGATTTACTTGTTGGAGCAGCCGACGTCTTCAGCAAAATCGGCACCAGGCTTTTCCCATCATAGATGCGACCCGTTGGCGGAGTCACACCTGCCAACTCAACAGCTGTCTGGAACACGTCCATGGAGCTGACCAGGTCATGGGACACCTGCCCAGGTGCAACAACACCTGGCCACCAGGCTATTCCGGGGACACGCAAACCTCCGTCCCATGTGGACGCCTTGCCACCTGTGAATGTAACAAAACGTATACACTAGAGAATGTCGTGCTGCGTACCGGTACGCGTGACTGCATGGTATTTATTTCATAGCTGGGCCACGATAACGTTTGATAACGTGTTCCAGCCCGTGTGATAACTATTATTATGTCATACCTGGGCCGCGATTACGTTCGATACGGGTGTTCCGGCCCATGTGATAACTAGCGGTACGGCCCGGGGGTTCTTAACGCGTACGGCCCGGGGCTTCCAAATGTTCCATAGAACGATTCGAACGTGTTTCGCCCTAACTGCGTGTGCCGCTTTCGAATTTCGAATACAAAATTCGGACGTTGTAATTGATGTTGTTGCTTTTTTGGGGTTTAGTGACACCATATTTTTGCTCATTTTGCATCGAAAGGCGTGTTTTCTTGGGTGGGCATGACATATTATAAAATACAACACGGTGCATTCAGCATCACCCTCGGTCCCAGCCCTCCCGCGGATTGGATCTCCCTCTGGCCTTCGGCTGTCAGGCGATCCCACGCGCGGTCGGGCTGGTACCTTGTGCGATACGGAATACCCCGTGTTGTATTCTATATTTATATCATACCCGGGCCGCAATAACGTTCGATAACGGGTTCCAGACCTGGCCGTACTTTACGGTACGGCCCGGTCCGGAACCCGTTATCGAACGCTTCCATGGCTTCCATAAAACGACTCAAACGCGTTTTGCCCTACCTGCTTGTGCCCCTTTCAAAAATTCGAATACAGAATCCGGACGTTGGAATTGATATTGTTGCATTTTAGGGTTTAGTGGCACCAACTTTTGGCTCATCTTGCATTGAAAGGCGTGTTTTCTTGGGTGCATTCCGCATCGACCTCGGTCCCGGCCCTCCCGCGAGTCGGATCGCCCTCGCTATACCACACTAGAAGTGGGTCTTTAGCCTGTGTTGGTGTTAGTAGCACGTTGGCAGATCATACTGCGCCTGCACAGAACCCTAGATTTTCACGTTTTTAGTTGGATTTTTGGTCAACGTTGCATCAGAATTTTCACTGTTGCAGAGGATATCTTTTTTGACACAACATTTGGAAACAACTAACCTTATATGAGCGAATACAACCTTATATGAGACATTCTGCTGAAGTGCTATGCACAATATATACATTACGGGTTTCGCGCAGGTGCAGTACGTTCTGCCGACGTGCTGGTATTAGTGTAACATTGCTAGTAATGCGATGTGAAATTGTCGGCAGTCATCAGGCATAATATACTAGTACTTCCCACAGGTTTGGAATGTCAGATATTTTGCTTTGTTATTCATGCCACAATAATGAAAATTTAGCACTGGAAAAAGCTGAAAACAGATTTGGCTCCAGACCTGTCATTCTGCCTGTCAATCTTCCCCCCATCCAACAGCTGCTGTCAAGCTACTCTGTTTGGACAGAAACACAAACCCACAGCTCACCCATCCAAAATAATAATTAAACTAGTACATGTATATGGTGACAGGAGCAGAGCAGACTATGAAATTGCAACATTATGTAACCCAACACCAGTCACCATGGTGACAGATGTCAACAAATCATGTCATTGGTCATGTCATTGGTCACTGTTTGGAGAAGAAGAGGAGGAAGACACTGAGCAAAAACAGTATCTGGTAAACATAAAAAAACATAAGTAGGAAATTCAACCCTGAACTAAATTCATGGTGCTTATGACGTAGATTAAACTCACTCACTCACTCACTAACCTACAGACGGAAGTAGATACCTTTGAGAATCCCGTTTGATCCTCCCTCAGTGCAGATCTCAAGATGCCCTCCGTGATCCGACAGGAAGATCACCAGTGTTCTGTGCTGGATCTGTAGACTGACGAGTGTTGTCAGCACCTCTCCTACAGCCCAGTCCATCTCACGCAGCCCATCTCCATATCTTCCTGGTGGGAAACACACACAGATTCGCTGCATTTACGGAAGATAACTATTCTGACAATACTGATTAAAAAGTAACATCAAATAAATAAAAAAACAGACAAAATGTCCACTGGGTCAGTCTACTGAGGAAGACCAGAGTGACTGGTTGAAAGCTCTCGGTGAGAGAATTTTTTGTGTTGGACCAAAAGTTTTAAATTTAAACTACCAACACACTCAGATGAACTTTCATGATAAAATGTTTACCTCTCCTTGACGTCTGCCTGAACCTGGGTGCAGAGAACATGTCGGTGTGCATGTGAGCGAAGGAGAAGTAGAAGAAGAAGGGTCTGTCCTTGTGGTTGTGCATGAAGGCTACGGAGTCTTGTAGGAAGGAGGCGGTCAGGTTATCGTGTCTGAAAGGCTGCTGGACGAGTGTGGAGTTCCAGTACAGGAAACATTTGATGGGGTTAGGATGAGCCATGTGAACCTACACAAAGGTAAGGAAAACGACTGATGTACACAAGGTGACTTTCACACTGAATGAAGATCACTTAAAGGCATCCAGTGTAGTTTTTAAGGCTTGGAAACCTGATTTTTCAGAGTCAATATTCTAGTTGTTTATCTACATACTGCGTTGAAACCACACTGTCCCAATGTATATTGACCCCCTTGGAGCAAAAATTCTGACGAAAAAATGTAACTGGAAGGGCCCTGGGCTGATTTTTGGGGTACCTCCCAGAAAATAAAGGACTCATCTTGCGGCCAAGCCCAAGGTATGAAATACTGACTCAAATGTGCTAATGTCAAGAAGTATGTGTGAATATGACAAAGATTGCCTTATTCCATTTTTGCTGCCATGAAATTGCATTGGATGCCTTTAAAAAACAATATTTGACTGACATGAGTTAATACAATTAATATGAATTAAGGTTTGCATGAATGAATGAATGAATGAATGAAATGGTTTATTCATTAAAGCAAACACTTGCAGCACAAATGGCTGAATTGTGGTTTGTACAATTTCTAAAACGTAGCTGCATTACATAGAAAAGCAAATACGACAATTAACTTTCCATACATATTCCATAGAGTGCGGTATATCTGTTGTAAAACAACGCGAGGAACATTTGTTGCCTCACAGATATTAAACACTTTCGTTTAAAAGCTTTACACAGAATGGCAGCGTGCTATTCCTAAAGCGAGCAGTCCTGGTCTTAAACTGAGTTATCTTGTTGTTGTTACGTAACGACCTATGGTGGACGTCGCCACGTCGAGAGGGGAGCCATGTACTGTACAATTGTGATTTCACAAGACTCTGAGCGAAACTAAGACACAGACTGTCCCTTCTGCCGTTCAGACGGCTAAGCCCTGTCGTGTCAAGTGCGGAGTCGTAGGTGACGTACTGTGGTCCCAGTATGATCCTAAGGGCTCGTTTCTGGACGCGTTCTAGCTTCAAAGACAGGTCTCTTGTCAGTCCAGGGTGCCAAATCACACACGCGTATTGAGAACAGGTCGCACAAAACCAATGTAAATGAGCACAAGGTCACTCATGTCCAAACCATGTTTCTTCAGATTCCTTAAGACATAAAGTCTCTTGTTCCCTTTCCCGACTATCGTGGTGACGTGCTCGTTCCACTTCATGTTGTGTTGGAGCATGATTCCCAGGATGCGTGCGCTGTGCACCACTTCAAGGTGGGACGGTCCAATGCTGATTTCTGGTGGTGGAGGTGGTTTTTTTGCAAAGCAGAAGAACATGACTTTGCACTTCACCGGGTTTAAGCTCATGTAGTTGGTGTCATATAGTAGTATACGCATCACATTAGTTACATGATTATTGTTGAATATCATCAGAAAATATTTTGTGTCAAAAGATAATACAATTTGATCCATAGCTTTGCAGCAGACATACAAGAGATTGTTGAAGGGGTCCATGTACATTGTACACATTGCAAATTGCCATCAAAAGTCTTGCAAAATGCCATTAAAAGCTGTGCATTTCTTGATTAAAATGCATGCAAAAGCTGTGTACTTCTCTTTTAAATCGTGTGAGATACTAGAGTAATGTGTTATAGATGCACAAATGCTGTTGTAGCTACTTAGTCCATGCAATGTATCGGTATGTAGCTTTGCACTTTTTACAAGTTTTATTTACAAACTTTATCTACAAACAGAAATAAGGCCACACCAATTTAATTTCTTGGTTGACGGATTCGCCCGCTTCATTTCTTTCTGATTTGCAAATAAAAATAAAAATTCAGAATCAACTGCAAAATGCTCATATTTTGCCCTGAACAGTTGAAAACAGTCCTTTTCATCCTAGTTGTTACAGTTATTCCATCTTTCAATGCAATGGTACTATCAAAAGTTCAAAATTCATTGTTTAAATTTTGAACCAGCCTGGTGTGTTGATTTCATGGCTCCTATCGTACCATATTGGGCCATAATAGGATGCCTAGGCCTGCAGCTGTTTTTATTTTTTATTCTTTTTTTCGCCCACCCGCTTCATTATTTTTCTAGAAAAATCCGTTAACCAAGAAACTAAATTGGAGTGGTCTTATCAAGATAAAACATTAAAAGCATGTATAGAATGTGTGGGAAAATAATTGAAATAGAGGATAGTGATTTTTGTGGAAAACCTTGGATTCGTCGCATGCCCAGTGGTTGGTAAATGGAAGGTTGGTTCCAACGAAGTCAAACCCATGATGGTGAGGCAGGTGGCTTCCGTCATCCGGTAAAAACTCATTAATACCTGTGGAACAATTTAAAAATTGTCAGCATCTTCAAAGGAAGTTGAATACTGTAAATTCATTTACTAGTACTTTGATGGTGGCTTCATGTCAGAAGGAAAAAGAGGAGTTTGCAGTGTTTTGGGGTTCAAACAATTCTGTAGTACAGTCATAAAACATGTGTACCTTAAGTATTCAGTGTTCGAAATACCTGTCTGCAGTCTGCAATCTGCAGATAGATCTTCAAGATTGCAGAAGAAAAATTTATACAATCTGCAATTTTGCAGCAGGAAAAATTGGCACTTGAGATTTGGTGCTCTTGGCCCCAAGGACAGACAACACTTAAGCTTCTGTTCTGAAACAACAGGAGCTTCTTCACTAATTTGCATCAACCTTGTCTTGACTTGTCTATCTTTTGTTTCTTTTTGGACTTCCAAAAATTTGTCTTCACTAATTTGCATATCAATCAATAGTTCATGCTTATAAACCTGCAAGATTGCAGTATGGTGGCTTGTATATTTGCAGAAAGTATTTCCAAATTGCAGAACAAAATTTTGACTCTTCTGTAATATTGCAGAGCACTGAAAAAAAGTATTTCGACCACTGTAGTATTCATTTACACGTACCTGGATATCTAACCTTCATCAATGTACAGTCATAATAGATTGGGTGACATTCCCAGTGTCCCTATGTAGTCTATTACGTAAGCTTTTGTATGTTTTTTTTTATTGAATTGGATACAAAAGCCAAGGCTACAGTGACATAATTGATAATACTAGCAGGGAAACATTTGAATCTTAATTGGGCTCTACGTATGCTGTCGTAAAGTTATAACGTTAATGTTCTAACTCTAATATTTTGCCATTTAACTGAAGTGATCCACTAATGCAGCATCAGTTATCCCAAGGTACACTCACTATGCACACTTCAGTGGCGGTTGTTCATAATCATACTTAGACAAATCTTGAGACAGTGTCGATAAATTAGCCCTTGTCCGGCTGACATTCCTGGCACAATATTTTTCAATAATTTTATGTCTTAATTAGATCATAGACCCACAAATTTTTTTGCCCTGTAGTGGCAAAGTTACTTCTGCATTCGTTGCGTTTCACTGCGGTGTGATGCGTTGCACGAGAAATACCCCCAAATCGTAGCTATACCGTGTGCTATATAGATGGTTACTGTATGTGGAGAACGACAATTGTTGTGCTCAGCAGGACCAGGGTTAGTATTATCAATGGGGGATCTGGGCACCTGACAGAATCTTGAGAGTTGTGGCCCCTATTCTGAACAATAGTGTACACTGTAGGTGTAAGAGAACCAATTAGCTCAAACCTAGATGCCACTTGCCGACCAGGCCGGTGGCGTACCCAGCATCTTTTAGAGCCTCGGCGATGGTTGTCTCATTCTTCGGCAGGCCTCCACTACCATCGTTTAAAAAGACTCTCTCTCCACCCCACACACCAACGCGGATGGGAAGACGACCTGGGAGGAAAGGAAAATCAGTTCAGGGTTGATCGACGAAGACCAGGGGGAAAGAGAAAAAATATAAATCGGAGACAGAACAGAAACATAAAATCTTTCCCCTTAGGCCACACCAATTTAATTTCTTGGTTAATGGATTTTTGTAGAAAAATAATGGAGCGGCCGGGCGATAAAAAAATGAAAAATTAAAAACAGGCCTATAAGGCAGATATTATTATGGCCCAAAATGGTAGGATAGAAGCCATGAAGTCAACACACCAGGCTGGTTCAAAATTTAAACAATGAATTTTGAACTTTTAATGATGCCATTGCATTGAAAGATGGAATAACTGTAACAACTAGGAAGAAAAGGACTGTTTTCAACTGTTCAGGGCAAAATATGAGCATTTTGTGGTTGATTCTGAATTTCTATTCTTTTGCAAATCAGAAAAAAATGAAGCGGGCGAATCCGTTAACCAAGAAATTAAATTGGTGTGGCCTTTAATAGAGCCAGGTATGTAGACAGTCCCACCTGTCAGCAGTGCTGCCCTGCTCGGGGAACACAGCGAGTCTGCGCTGTACCACTGCAGGAAGCGCATCCCCTCCGCCGCCATCTTGTCTATCTCACCACACTCCTGGGTAGGATGGCCGTAACTGCACAGATCCCCCCACCCCATGTCATCAGCCACCATCAGGACGATGTTAGGCTTGTCGGGGATGGTGATGCCGCTCTTGAGCTTCCCTTTTATCCCATGATGCAACAGATTCAGCGACAGCAGTAGCGTGACCCAGGTCACACCTATCTTGTGAGTCATGTCATCAATGTTGTTATAGCTGACTTAATCAGGTTACAAATATAGAGCACTAGTCATGGGGAACCAGTTGAGTCACTTCAAAGTAAACAACCTTTGACCTGATGACCTAAAAAATAAACGTAACCTTTAACCTGTTTACCTATTGACCCCAACTGCGCAAGCGCTGTATTCATTCATTCAAACCAAAATGGCGGAATCAGAAGTCGTGATCGTTGGAGAGACCTGGGAAACCACCGAGAATTCTCTCTACGAAGAGAGAAAAGGGGCAGTGGTCGGGAAGCTACAGAAAAGAGAAGAGGAACTGGCAGAAAAGAAAGAGAAGAGGCGTTTGGAGAAAGAAAAAACGTCAGCGGAAGACGAAACGTCCGACTTCTTTGCGACTACGTTCCGGAAAGAGAAAGCCGCCATAGAAAAATCACTGGAGGACTTAGATGCCACCCCTAAAGAATGGACTCTCCGACCACTTCGATAACATCACGGCGGCCCTGCAGAAACTGCAGAAGTTTGTGACGGATTCGACAAGTTTTCTACCGGGTTACGACGTCCGCCAGGCACAGGAAGCGATCGGTAACCTTCAGGCCGCCTTCAGCGAGAAGCGGGAACAGCTCCTCCCCAAGAAGAAATTCGCCTTCAAGAAAAAGAAGGAAGGAGCGAAAGAGCCGAAAAAGAAAGCACCTCAGGCGGCCGCAGAGGTGAAACCTCCGACCCAGATCGCGCCAGTTGTTCAGGTGGAGTGCGGATTCGCTGATAAAGTCTCCCAAACTCTGACTTTGCAACCGCACGAGATCGAGAACCAGGACGTGTCTCTCGCCCGTCTGACCGACTGTACGGTGAAGCTGTACGGCACAGCCGGCACCGTGCACATCTCTAACGTCTCCGCCTGCCGTATCTTCACCGGCCCCGTCTCCAGGTCTATCTTCGTGGACGACTGTAAGGATACCGTGCTGGTGATCGCCTGCCAACAACTGCGAGTACATCACACCGAGGATACACAGTTCTACCTACACGTGACAAGCCGAGGGATCATAGAGGATAGCACCCGACTTCTGTTCGCTCCCTACAACTGGACATATCCAGACATGGAAGAACACTACAAGAAAGCGGGACTGGACAGGGAAAGAAATACGTGGGACGATATAGATGACTTTAATTGGCTTGCGTCAGATGCTCATTCTCCGAACTGGGCTGTTATGAACGTAGAAGAAAGAGTGGGGGGTTGGGAGCCCTAGTCAGTAGAAGTGGCTACTGTAGATTCATTTAACTTCACTGTGATTTTATTTTGCGGTAGGAGAAAGTGAGATATTCATGACATTTTAAATTCGACAGAGTTGAAACAATTCGTAGTACACAATTGAGGCAAATTGGAAATGCATATTCTCGGGACCGTGAATTCGCAGTGAGTAGGTCACTAAAAATAGAACCACCGCAAAAGTTTCACAATTTAAAGTATCACTTCAACTGTGCATAGTAATTATACTACTATCTGTCCTTAGTCTCTGGCAGATTGTTTGTTTCATTTCATAAAAAAAAAATTGGCATCATTTGTAGCAATGGAATATTAGTGTTAATAATGAAGAAGTTTTATTGCAAATTCGTGCCCGTAGGCTCATTGCAAATCATAAACATACAACAGTATTGAAACAGATTATATTATTATACAATAGTATCTACATGATGAAAAGTAGTTGACTAAAACTATAGCTATGTCTGAATAATAATAATGTACCAAGTAAATGTAAGCCGATGAAATCTTGGCCCTCCAAATGTTCGGCCCTATGCCGAAAAGGTGTTACAGTCCTGAACAGCCAGAGTGGTATACATCTAGTGTAATCCTGAGCCTAACAGTGAAATTAACAAGACCTTTGGCAAAAAATTTTCCCTTGAGCAACAAAGTTTTCTCAAGTGCACGTTAGTAGTACATAAGTCAAAGTATTAATGCCATACAGTAATGCAGCATTAAATGTGTGTACTCAATGAATCCATATTTTTATTGTTGTTAAATTGATTCTCAGTCTGCAAATGTGTTGCTGCCAGGAATTATGGCCACACCGACTGAATTTTATGGATGACATCCAAGCACGCATTGATTTTATTTTTTTCTAAAGAATAAAAAAAATCACGTCCTCCAAGGCTCTGGCCAGACTCTAGTCTAGGCCTGGGTAGTCCATGGTAGCTAGTGACAATACGGAGCCGGTGGGACTACAGAGGATGGCACCCAAGCTACCAAAGCACCACGACTCAAGAACTCAATACATACGTACAGTGCAAGCATATGCCGGCTGGCTTGTCATTAACGTCGCTATGTTACAATGTACATCCGCAAATTCACAATACCGACTTTGTATTCCTGTGATTTAGTAGCATTTGTATTTTTGTTTCCGGATTTTTTTATTCGCCCGCGCGCACTAGTTTGGGGGTCTTCAGAGGATGTCATCCATAAAATTAAGTCGGCATGGCCTATAGTAGAATAAAAATATGTTTGTAATAATATAAATGGCACATTTTATCTGACTGAGGTCTAATTTATGCTAATGGTGATTGTAATTAATAAAAATTTTGAAAAGAGCATGTGAGACAGTCTTTTAGACCTCAATCATTTCATCAGGTAATCTGTATAGCTTCTTGTTAGGTTTAAATGCTGTCATATCTTCGGAACCTTCCTGAACAATATACAGTTGTGTAGTTCAAAACAAGCTGTAAAATACACGCTATAACTGTCTGACTACATCATGCTTCTGCAAACATTTAATCTGGATGAATTGTGCATATGTGCTGATATGGAGGAATTATTTCTGGGTTGAGAACTGCCTGATACAATGTTATTGTAGGTTGGAATGACCAGTTTCAATAGTAATATATAATTGTTTTTTTGGTTTATTTCAATTGAACAACTGGCAGCCCACAGGGTTGAATTATGTGTTCGTACATATACATGGGAAGATAAAACACTTGCTCAGTATTATTCATCATATCAGTCAAGATCTATACTGGTAATAAAAAGTAAGGGCAGTAAAATCAGTAACAGTATTCTAGTCACAGTCACATACCGGGGGGGGGTACATCTTAGTCACAACAAGTAAAATCTAATACATAAATGATAATAGAGAATCCTGAGCTCCTATTGGACTGATTTTAACTGTATGGCCACAAGCTCTCAGGAGGAGACCCTATCAGCCCTTGACAACAAGAAACATGTAGCACAGACTAACAGTAGAAACAAGACATTTGGATCAGAGCCTATTTGTTTTATTTACATTTCTTCATGACATCTTTACATATATACACTGTTAAATGACCTTGGCTTGATCATATATATATGTTACCAGGTGAAATGTCAGCTACTTATATTAACATAAACATATATGCATTTGGGGGGGGGGATTTCGAATGGTACATTTCCTTTTTTTCTAATTAAAAAAAAATGAAATGAGGCAAATGAAATTTGTGTGGCCTAGATTAGAACAGACTTTGGAATGCGGTGTAAGCTTAACGGTATGATATTATTAGAGTAATGAGTTACAACAGCGGTTGATAAGTCACTGTAAACTCTCCGTAGGCAAGTACCATCGGGAAAAGGGTATATTTACTAACATAAAATCCTTACTATGACCGCATGCAGTATACTTAACCGCATTCACATTGTTGGTTCCATGGTACAAAATTTCCACAATATCGCATGTTAGGTGCTGTGGCGTCACAGTAGATATCACACCCGTCTTGAGATTATTGTAATATTGAGTCGCTAGGTCATGAAAAGCGCCCTCTGACGATTCCTTAAGGTTTTGCCTCGTCAGCGTCTTGTTCTTTGTCTGCAGAGTTCACCTCGGTACTTTCCGTCTCGTCATTGGTGGACAGGTTCAGAGTTTCAATGGTGGCTGCAGATGAGTTAGTGACGACTACTGAAGGCACTGCCATGGCACGGTAAGGCGGAGAATCCTCGGGCCTGGTTGGGCCTATGATGGCTTTACTTTTAGCGCAGCCCATGTGTCTTAAATTAAGAAAAAAACTGTCAGTGTAGCCACCGTTAAGACGATAAAAATATGTACGAAGAAGATGCAGTTCACAAAGGCTACCCGAACTCTTTTTAATGTTTTTGCAAAGACCATGAAGTTAAAATCTTGATTTTAACTCCATGCAAAGACACAGCGTGGCGGTTATTTAGTTGAAAACCTCTACTTACAGCAAGGTTACTTGGCGATAGTAACAACTTTATAGTCACCTTAACGCCCTAGCGTATCCCAGCGGTACTGCAAACTCCCTTCTTGTTACAGACACTTTGTTAGCTGAAAATTGTTTCTCACTCGCTCTCCGCACGTTGGAATTTAACAATTTCGTCCACCCGGCGCCTTCCTATGGTACTGCAAACTCACCACCCGCCGTTGAAATTTAAACTCCAACAATGATATCGTCGTCTTCTGTAATGATCCCAATCACCATTGTCTGACGCGGGATTCTGACGACACCATCGTACGTATTGTCTCCCTGACCTGAGCCGACCTCGATCAAGGTCGTTCTGAAGGCTGGACGGCAACAGCAACAGCCCATGGAGGCTGTGGCTCGACTATTTGTGCCTCTATTTTACTTCGTCTTTCAAGATGTACGTAAACGTCTTGGCTCTATTTGCCTCTATTTACTTCGTCTTTCAATATGTACGTAAACGTCTTGGCTCTATTTGCCTCTATTTACTTCGTCTTTCAAGGTGTACGTAAACGTCTTGGCGCTCGCAAATAAGGCACTATGACCTGAACTAACCCCTTCGGTGTTCTATGCTCTTCGTCCGTTGTTTCGAACAATGGTTCTGCCGATTCGAACAACAACAACAACTCGGCGGGCGCTGTGATGTTGACGTGACAACAAACGCACGCCACCTACCGACGATGGCAGAAGATGCGTAAGCGCAAACCGTCGCCATGGTCTTCTCCATCAAGTTTACCGAGGAGAAGCGTATCCGCCTGGCCACCGTCCTACAATGTTTTAACGGGCTTTCTACGCTGTGTTCTCTCTTCTTATTTTCAGGGGGCATCTTTATCAAGGTAACTTGTAGGGTTATAACGTGTTAGAAGTCATCAACACCTGTCCGTCATGTTGGGTAGTCACT